ACGTATTTACAGACATTTGAGCAAAATTCCGGCAAAGATCAGCTCTCTCACGCAGGCTGATCCTCACGTGCAAACAACTTTCCTGTGGGGAGCAATCCGGACTGGACTGAGTTACTGGAATTAAGACTTATTCTATGCATCTGCTCTCCCACAATATGGCGCTGGGAGAGAAGTAAACAGCTTCCGCACAGCTGCCTCCAGTTCAACCAATAAACTGTAGGACTTGCTCCTGATTGGAGGAGAGCAGCGTACTCGGCGTGTGGGCAGCCGAGTTGGGATTGGCGGAGGAGGACTATAAAGGAGGAGAGAGACGGCATGCACCAGGAACATCTATGGGGAACATCTAAGGGGAACATCTAAGGGAACACCTGTGCAGCCCCCAGAGAGCCGGCCGGCGGTGTGCCGCTCCCCTGCGGAAGTGGGGAATGTGGCCAGGGGGAACTGCCCTTCCACGGAGGTGGAAGGGACGGTAGCCAACCCGGGAAGAACCAGCAGCAAACCCGGGGAGGGCCGAGCAGACGAAAGAACAGCGCAGGGTCCTGTGTCGTTCCTCCACGAAGAGGGGGAGCGACACTTTCCCTGAGGGAAGGGGCCGCCAGGACTCAGAGCGAATGGCAGGGCCAATGATGCCGGCCTAAAACGATCCCGTTTTTGATGCAAGCATCTGTTTCTTAACAAAAATAAATGACTACGTAAATACCACAAATAAGGAATTTCTGGATGTGGTCAGAGAGGCAGACCTAAGTGCAGGCAGCGCGGCCGCCATCCCCTCCTCCGGGGCCTCTGGGGCAGGGGCGGGGTCTCTGCAGTCCCCTAGTTCCGCCCCTCTCCCCACGCTCCGGGACCCGGGTCCCCACGGTCAGAGGCCCCCGCGCGGGAAGGAGGCGCCGTGCCCGTCTCGGCCTCCAGGTGGCGCCCTCGCCCCGAGCGGCGCTGGCGCCCGCAGCCCGGGCGGCCCCGCTGAGCTGGGCCCAGCCTGTGTCTCTCGGGGCTGGAACTCCCTTCTCTGCCGTCAGGATGCCTCTTGTTATGGCGTTGCAGAAATACGAAGCAACCCAGGAAAACTAAAAGAAGCCCCGGGGTTAGGGTTAGGGTCGGTGTTGGCCTAGGTTTGTTGGAATTCCCACATCCCATGCCTGGTCCAAACCCCAGCTTTCTGCTAATGCTCACCCAGAGAAGCCTTTGACGATGCCTGTGCTCGTGTCCCTGCCACTCATGGGGGACCTGAACTGGGTTCCCAGCTCCCAGCTATGCCTGGACCTGCGTGGGGAGTGGGCCAGTGGATGGAAGCTCTTAGAAGAAGGGGTGGGGAGAAGGAGGAAGAAGAGAAGGAAAGGAGAAAGAAAAGACTCTAGCAATCGTCAAGGAGGATATCCAAAATTAATGTCGTCGCACATTGCAGGTGGGAGCCACTGGGGAAGAGAGTTTGATAGTTCTTCACGCTGGGATCATGACATGGTCCAGCAATTCCACTTCTAGATGCACCCCCGGAGAACTGAAAGCAAAGCCCACACAAATACAAGGGGCTTCTTGCTCCGCCCGGAACAGGCCCACGACCTGTGCTCAGCCCTAAGGCAGGTCCTCACAGTGGATCTGAGGGACAGGGCTGGTTAGGACCCTCTGCCCAGCGCAATATCCTCATTAGCCACAAAGCTAAATGGAAACACATCCCATGAAAATGCACCAAAAGTGCTGTTGCTATCTGTTGCTATGGAAATGTCTAAAGTTGTTTCAGAATTATCAGGGATGGGGGAAGTTGTAGGTGGAGGAAGGAGAAAGAAACAGGGTGTTGTAGGGAAGAAGGCCTATGGTATTAGTCTCCATTGTCATTTTCTTGAAATGCTATTTATTTATTTATTTATTTGAAAGAGAGAGAGATCTTCCATCCATTCCTCAAATGGCCACAAAAACCAGGCTGGGCCAAGCCAAAGCCAGGAGCCAGAAGCTTCTGGCTTCCACACTTCGAGTAGGCCCAAATCAGCAGGCCAACTCCCTGTTCTCTGTAAAAGGCTTTGCTTATAAACACAACTTCTCTGCCAATGTCACAGAACAGCAGCAGCAACAGCAGCCGCCCCCACCCCCACCCCCACCCCCTCCACTGGGCTGTCCTAACCCTGTGTGGCTTTTACCTTCTCTCTGATGGTCGCCTCTCTGGAACCAGGCTGTGCAGGACACAGCACTGTTGCAGACTGAGGCTGGAATGTGACCCAGCAGCTCACCTGAGTGACAGGGGTCCAAGCTCTTGGGCCACCCTCCACTGCTTTCTCAGGCCATAAGCAGAGAGCTGGATGAGAAGTGGAGCAGCTGGGACATGACCCAGTGCCTACATGGCTGATTCTACCCACTACACCACAATGCTGGCCCAGCCCATCAATTTTGAAAAAAAAAAAAAAGTGTGTGTGTATTTATTTGAAAGAGAAAGAGAGAAAATTTCCCATACAATGGTTCACTCCTCAAATGGCTGCAATCTTTTTTATTTTTTCCCCCTAACAGGAGTTTTCCAAGCTACCTAGTGTAGGATTGTGGTCAAGACCATGAGTTCTGGAGACAAATGCACTGGGTGCTGTCCTTTACTGGCTAACATAACCTCTGTGCATTATCTCCAAGCTTTAACTTGCACAAATGTAAACCCCAGAAGACAAACTCAGATCTGCACTACAGAGGCTTGAAAACGTTGAAAAGCAGTAAATATAAAAGCTGTCACCACGTCTACGTTTTACAGTGTGTGTGCTCCAAAGATCGCTGGTGGATCTGCCCCGCCAGTGTGAAGACTGGAGAGATGCTCCCGCACTGTGCTCCCCACAAAGTGCCCAGCTGTGTGGCAGCGGCCGCTCCACGTCCCAGTTCTGCTGAATTCACTGCCTGGGCTCCTCTACCCTCTCCAGGACAGCCAGGATTGTGCCATCTCTGTCCTTCATCCCTCTGGTACCCTGGGGTCAAGGAACAGTGTGGCAACAATTTATTCTAACAGACGTGTAGAATTAACATATGCGCAACAATACTGTTAAAGATCCCTGTGGCTGCTGCTCTGGTTTTAACTTGTTAAGGGGACGTGGTCTTTCTTTTGATCCTCGCCCACAACGTTCCAATGCATCCATGCTCCAGCTCATATTATCTTAAGTCTCGAAGCTGCGGTCCATCCCCAGCAGCCACAGGTGAGGAAAAGGTGAGCAGAGGGCCGGGAGCCCAGCCAGCAGTTCTGTTCCCAACAGACAGAGTGTGTGGGGTTCACCTGCCAGGTGGAGAGAAGACAGCTGGGCAGGAAAGTTCAGAGGGAATGCAGAGAAAGGGAGAAAAGAACAAAGAGAAAACCGCCTCCGGTTTTCATCTTCCTCCTTGGAACCAAACGAATGACACAGAACTGACATGTCTCAGTGAGTTGTCCGTGACCCAGCATCAGGGTCCATGTTTCCACTCTAGGACAGTCTCACCCTGGAGCTGCTGGGTCACATTCCAGTGCTGTGTCCTGCACAGCCTGGTTCCAGAGAGGCGACCATCAGAGAGAAGGTAAAAGCCACACAGGGTTAGGACAGCCCAGTGGAGGGGGTGAGGGTGGGGGTGGGGGCGGCTACTGTTGCTGCTGCTGTTCTGTGACATTGGCAGAGAAGTTGTGTTTATAAGCAAAGCCTTTTCCAGAGAACAGGGAGTTGGCCTGCTGATTTGGGCCTACTCAAAGTGTGGAGGCCAGAAACACCCCTCCATTTCTATCCTGGAGCAGAGCCCCGGACCACAGCTGGTGTGGGCATCACAGCCCCCCCTTAGGAAGGACCCTGGGCTGGAAGGCAGGCAGGGATTTTTAATTCCTTTTTTTCTTTCTGTTGTAATTAGATCTGATCTTCCCTGACCCGAGAGCCACAGAGACCCGCGTGTGTTCCCTTCCCCTGGCCCGAGTCCCGTTGCTTCCTGAGTGCCCAGGGGACTAGGGTTTGCACCCCGAGGACGCGCCCTATATGCCACCCTCTGATGGACCTGCTTTCCCACAAGAATTTCTAGAAGCAAATAGAGCCCGTCACAGCCAGAAAAAAGAAAAGAGAACGCTCCCTGTTGTTGTCTTGACTTGCTAACCATGCAGAAATGATGGGGCGGTGGAGACAATTGAGGAGGCTGGGACGCGACAAGCCTCCCCCAGCGCCCGGCCTGTCCTCAGTCCTGCTCCCAACATCTCCGAAGGTATCTACTGCGTGCGGTGGTTCCAAAGCAGGTGCGCGCGGCCGGCCTTTGCACCACCCTGGGACAGCAGGACTCCCCCCCCCCCTCCGCCACCGGCCACCGCAGGCGTCCCGGTGCCCTAGTGAGCGATGGCAGGTGGCGGCGGCGGGAAGCAGGCCCAGGGGCGTGTGTGCAGCTGTGCCTCAGCGTCGCCCCTGTCTGCGCCTGTGCAGGAGCTGCGCTCATATCTGTTTAACAACCCCACTTTCCCCAGAACCGCCAGGAAATGCACGCTGCTCGGTTGTCCTGACCGCTGGGCCCGTGTCCTGGCGCCCCTGCTCCTCAGAAGCTCACCCATCACCTTTCCCACCTTTTTATGGTTGGGGGGGTTCCTCTGGCACATTTTAATTTGACATAATATTCTTAATTAAACTGTTTAGACCAAATGCTGTTTCCTATTGTCATTATTTGCCTGCAGTAATAAAACTCTCGCATAATTTAAAAATGTCAAAAGATTTTCGGTAGGAGAGCAAATGGATACAATCATTTATAGAAAAATGCAAACGCTCAAGTTCTTTTATACCTTGCAATGTCATTTTTTCCTTCTTGAATTTCCCATAAACTTATCTTTCAAACGTAATATTCTTCCACGCTTAGAGGTTTTTAAGGAAGTTTCTCCTAATAAACATAGACATGTACATCACTTCAAATATCATTGAAATTATTAGCTTTACAGAGCTAAACACTAAAATATAATTTTGAAAACTAGTCAGTATTTTTTAAAGATATACAATGATGAGAATTATATCTAAACATAAATGGGTGTAAAAATAGATTCATAGATGCGTGGATTTCAATAGGAATTAAATTTTAATGTTAGTTCTATGCCAGTTTTTTTTTTCAATTTTTAAAAACTTATATAAAGTGAACAAATTTCAGGTATTTCATATATACAGATTTAGGAACACAGTGATACTTCCCACACTAGCCTCCCTCCTCCTTCCTTTCTTATTCTTTTAATTTTTATTTTTTTAATTTTTACAATGGCATGCTTTCAGTTTAGCCAATGTTTATTTTTATAACTAGTAAGAAACGCATTATTTTATTAAGAGGAAAGGGCAGTTGTTTAGTAAATGTCCCTCACTTTAAATTAGATCGTCGGGTAACAAGTATGGAAAATAGTTACCCATAAATTAGGAGAGAAGCCAGCAATCGCTTGTAAAAGGAAGAGGGAGGCACCCGCCCCCCGTGGGTTTCCGTAGTGTAGTGGTTATCACGTTCGCCTAACACGCGAAAGGTCCCCGGTTCGAAACCGGGCGGAAACAGGATGTTTTTACGCGTGAATTTTGCTCCTAGGAGCTTTGGTTTGAACTCCGCAACCGCTGCGACGCTTACCCTCACCCCACCCACCCAGCGTGCGGGCTTCCTCCGTCTGCGGGCACCCGGGCAACCTGGTTCCTCCTGCTGCGGGAGCCGGGGAGGAGGCACGGCTCGGAAAGCGCAGGAGCAGGGCACCTCGGGCTGACCGCGGGTCTCTCCTGTGCGGGTCGGGCGCCCTGCCGATCCGGAGGGGCCGGGCCGGCATCTAAACACCCTGAGGAAGCGAGCCCGAAGCGCCCGGGCAGGGTGGACGCTCGTGGCTTGGGCAGGGTCCGCGCAGCCGGTGCGGAGCCGCAACCAGAAAGCATCGCCCCTCCGTGAAACGTCCCAGAATGGAGAATCCAGCTCAGCCCCAAGCTGGGGCCGGAGACAGAGCTGTGCACGGTAATCAGGATCCAGCCGAGCGAGGGGAGCCGGGGAGCGCCCCACAGCGGACGCAGGGAAGAGGATGGCTGGACAGTGCCTCACTAAGTCCATCCCAAGTAACGCGTTAACGGAACCCCAGAGAGAGGACAGGCGGAGGTCACTGCAGGAACCCTGGCCGAGCGCGGCTCTGAGTGCGGGCGGGGGAATCCGTCCTCAGGGTCACGCCTGAGCCCTCCCGGTCCAAGTCGGCTCTGTGCCGTGAGGACCGAGTGTCTGGGGCTGGACTTGTTCAGGGGCACAGAAACGCGTCGTCTCAGGCCTCCGAGGTGTAGGAAGTGGAAAATCGAGTGCCAGCCTCAGGCCAGGGCCTCCTCGCCGAGTCATCACACGTAAAAAGGCCAGGGACCGAGTGAAGGAGGGCCCGCCGTGCCCAGCCCAGGAGGTGGGGGCCTCAGGGCCTGCTCACCTGCGGAATGCCCACCATCCTAACGCTGTTCGCGGAATAAGCATTCAAATCACAGCAACCCGGCTGACAGAAGCCACCGAAAGTATTCAAATGAGCCGGTCCCTAACGCATTCACCGTGCCCTGCCTGCCTTTCCCGCAAAGCCAGACGGTCCCCCTTGCTGCCGGCTCCTGCCGCCTGACCACGTGCCCTGCACGGTGTGCCGGCCCCTGCGTCCAGGACCTGTGAGCAGAGTGAGCTCCGCTCCTGAGCCTCCCTTATGTCTCCTCTTGAAGCCGCACTGGACAGACGGACACAGAAAGGGAAGGGTTCTTGAGACCAGACGGACAAGGGACGTCTCGGGAGCACATCCATCAAAACCCACAATGGTCTCCAGCACATACCCAGTCCTCAAGGAGCCAAGATCTTCCGAACTTGTATCTTTCACACGTGCCAATACGAGCAGAACTTGTCTGGTTGAGGAAGTTCCAGCATTTTTGTACACAGGCACAGGCTCACAAAGTCGACACTGTGATCATGTGCGTCTGCACAATGTATACAACGAATTAGAACTCGAAGCATCTTGACACCATGTATACCTCCAGGGTTGGAAATGATGCAAAGATAAAACACACAGCCTAGCAAGTTTTAAAAATTAACCCTGAACAGTGAACATGGAGAAAAGTTGGAAAATAAATGGAAACTCTACAAAGAGACTCATATGAGCATATTGTGCCACAGGGCTAGGTTACAGGCAGTAGTGTGGACCTTGTTAAGACTGGCTCATTTCCACGTCATTAGCTGCATGGTGAAGTCCCACGCTGCTTTGCAGGGCGTGGCTCCCAGAGAACACAGGCTCCTGTTCTGTGAGGCCCTGCTGCTATGGAAGGGATGTGAGCATTCCCCGTTGAGTCTCCTGTCTTTTGTGCCGTGCTTCTGTGTTGGTCAGGAGTCACAGGCAGACCACCGATTCAGCGGTAACAGCTGGTGACACCACATTGGCACTGTTTCCCAAGGGCCTTCTTATCCTGTCTTGCCCGTAATTATTTTCAGACCAGTCGGTCACTTCCCTGACAACTTCAGGCAGGTGTGGCTTTAACTCATTACAAGTTCTTAGAAATCCATGCAAATGACACAATTTTTAAACAGAAGTGACAATCTACTCACCTGACTCCCCCCCACCATCACCCCAGCAGAAATGCACTGGGCTGAAAAAGCCACCTTTAGGCAACGCTTCTGAAATTCACATTTAGAAGCCTGGATGGCAGCTAGCTCCAAATCTGTCAGTATGGTTTGAGTCAATTCAAATCTGTCTTCTTTTGCAAAGCCCACCAAATCTTCAAGCGAGCATGGATAAATTGTGTTCCTTTTCGCAGTCCTCTTACATGAAAGAGTGGATAAGTTCTAGAAATTTCTGATCCAGCAGGGCATGAAGGGTAAATGTTTGATTTAACAGACAGTGGAGACAGTTTTGAAAGTGTGGACCATTCACAGCGAAGCGTGCACCAGTTTTTCTGTTCCTTTTCGCAGTCCAGGAATCACTGTACTTGAGGGATGCTGTCTCAGACAAAGGTGGGAAAAACTCTCAATACAAATATTCGACAGAGAACCACGACCTAGGGATGTATAAAAATCAGTTTAAAAAATAAAACAAGATCCAATAAGATACACTCAGTGTGATTCAAAAGGCAGGTCTGTCCACTGTATGGACAGTAAGTGCCTCAGACTCCCTGCAGCCCCAGGAGGCCATGCACCTCACAGGTGCAGCCCTGGCCCATAGACTACAGATGAGAGTGAGGTCCCCCAGTGACATTCCCGGTGACAACCTCAGCTTTGGCGTCTTCAACAAGGGTACAGTTTCAAAAGATGAGGCATTGCCCAAGCAGAAACACGGAGAAGAGGGCAACCAAGCTGGGCAGGAGGTGTTTCCACCCAGTCTGGAGCTGAAGTGCGTGAGTGACACACACTCTCCATGGAAACCATCAACTGCCAGAGTTGTCACCAAACTCAAGACAGACATTTCCGGTATGTCTCTGACGTTGAAATTGACATCAATTTCAGAGTTGGGGCACTGTGTCCATTTCCTTTTACATTCCATTTGTTAGAACTGACAGTTGTTGCTGTGGGTACTTCTGGGAGGAGGAGCGTGGTGGGGGCAAGAGGCGTGGAGTCACCACACAGACACCTGGCCAGAGGCAAGCAGCCCGCAGACTCCTTTATTTCTGTTGGTACAGCAGCTTATATAGGCAAGGCAGCCAATCCGGTCAAGGGGCAGTTTATGCCCTAACCAATCACAGCCTGTTGCCAAGCAGGCTCCATTGCCAGGTGGGTTCCCAGGGGGTTGCTGAAGCCATTCCTGAGTAACTGATGCTTGTTTGCCAGCAGCCATCTTGGCATGGCCTTCTCAATCCACCACAAACAAAATTCCACAATGTGCAGCCCAGGCCCAGGAAGGGTTGGGCCTCACCAACACCAGGCTGGGAAAGCTCAGGCTACATGTGCAGGGATGTGATTGGAGGCCATTCATGGGCTGTCCTGGGCCAGTCTCTCTGTCCTCCCAGCTGCAAGGCTGCTTCCGTGTCTGACAACCGAGAAACAGCTTAAGAGACCAGGCTCTCCGGGGAGGCCTGGAGCCCAGTGCACTTTGTAGGAGAGGATGCTTTGTAGGACAGACTGTGGAGGGCCTGGGCTGAGGGGCCTGGAGAGGACAGCTGTCTCCCAGGAGTGGCCTCCCACCTCCCACTCCGTCTCTCCCCCCACAATGATCCCCACTCTTCCCCAGGCCTTAGTCATTCAGCCGCTGTCTCCCATTTGATTTGGGTATCTCTGTGGTTTCAACTTCCATACAGTGCTGTGGATCTTGGGAAGTCATTTGTCTCTTGATTAATTTACTTTCTTTGAAGCTGAAGATTTTTCCCTCTTGGTCCAGGTGCCTCACTTGTGACTGCCTCGTGGTGCCAGGAAGGCGCCACAGCATCACTCCTCCCTCCCTGCTCCTGGCCTGGGCCTGGCTGGATGCCGGCCCTGCACTACCTCGGACAGCACCACGGGGCCAGGAGGAAAGTTCACTGAGGGACAGTCCTAGAAGTGGGATGGCTGGGGACATGAAGGCTGGGTAGAAATCAACACTCTGTTCATGCCTGGACAGCAAAGTCGAAGCCTTAGATGGCTAAGACTAAAAGCTTACCTTTCTCCCCTGCAGAAATTCAACCCCTGTAAGATTTTCCTCCTGTCAAACTGAAAGACAGAAAGCACATCTAATCCACATTGCTCTCAGAAAATTCCATAGGGAAGGTAATCCTTGAAGAAAGGGATGATTTAATATGAGAGAGAGAGAGAGAGGGAGAGAGGGAGAGAGAAAGGGTCTTGCACCCAGTGGTTCTCTCCCCAAATGGCTGCAACAACAAGGGCTGGGCCAGGCCCCAGCCAGGAGCCAGGAGCTTCTTCTGGGTCTCCCATGTGGGTGCAGGGGCACAAGGACTTGGGCCATCTTCTATGGCTTTCCCAGGCCATAAGCAGGGAGACGGATCTGAAGAGGAGCAGCCAGGACATGAGCCAACACCATAGGCAGAGTCTTAGCCTACTATGCACAGTGCTGGCCCTCGCTAAGGATTTTGTTTGTTTGTTTGTTTTGTTTTTGTTGTTGTTTTTTAATTGTTTGAAGAGCTGGGTGCAGACCACGTGTGGCACAGGCAAAGACCCTGAAAATAAATGGCCACGACCTTGCAAGTCTCCTTCTCCTGGCCTGCGGCCCCCACTCCAAAGATCTCACTGCAGCCACAAGCAGCGCCCAGTCCTGCAAGTGCGAACGGCCTGGCCCCTGGGCCAGGGGAATACCCCGCTGGTGGAGGCCGGGCAGTGGGACGAGAAGCCCGGCAGAGGTTCCCAGTTGGTTTCCTCATCTCTCCCAGGTGTGTGTTCCCGCTGTGGCAGGTCTGGCTGTCTTCCCAGAGTGTGATCAGGAGGATGAAGCCGGCTGCCGCTGTGGCAGAGATGGCCACACCACCCAGGACCGCGAGAAGCCCAAGGGAGAGCAAGAGCCGTGCCACTACAACCACGGCAGGCCAGGCTCCTGACCGTGACCATGGCAGTGAGCAGAAGTGCTATTCTTGTGGAGAACGTGGACACGCTCAAACACTGCACCGAGGTGCTCCGGGTGCTCCAGGTGTGGGGAGGTGGAGGCGTTGGGTGTGGTGCTTGGTGGAAGAACCCCTCTTTCCACGCCACTGGTGAACAAGAATGCATGAATGGGAGCGGACTCAGACCAGTGAGTCCTCTCTGGGTTTCTTGGCTGTGTTCCCATGTAGGAGGTAAAACCAATTCTGGAAGTGTCCGTGGGCATCCATAAATAACTTTAATTTTAGCATAATGCTGGCCTTGGATTGTCTGACCTTGGTAGCTATTAAATAACCCTTGTAACATCTGAGTGAGGCCCTCCTGGAACCTCCAGCTGGATGGGAGTACACAAGGCTAAAAGACAGATATGCATGTTAGAGGCTACGCAAGGGAAATGCAGATACAAGCCTGAGCATTGATGCTGGGCATACAGATGGTGGCGTTAGAGGTTTCGGACACATTTTTTCAAAGACTAAATTTAAACCCTTGGGAAACATTGATGCTCAGAGTTAGCACCCTTTGGAGATATTCAGAAATTACAGAGAAACGCATTTCCAAAGAAATCAAGATGTTATTTTTGTGTGTCATGTCACTTGGACATTCATGTCTCATTGGCTGTAATCAGTTTTGAAAAGTCAGATGGGAAAAGCAATTGAAGTCCTAGAAAATAGCAATGTAATTTTAAACCATTCCAATAAAGATGGAGGAGGAAAATAGATTGTTTGAGGGGTGGGCATTGTGGCATAATGGGTAAAGCCGCCTGTGAGACCAGCATCCCATGTGGGCGCCAGTTTGAGTCCTGGTTGCTCCACTTCCGACCCGGCTCCCTGATAATGTGCCTGGGAAAGCCGCAGAGGATGGCCCAAGTACATGGGCTCCTGAACCCACAGGGGAGACCCAGATGAAGCTCCTGGCTCCTGGCTTCGGCCTAGCCCAGCCCTAGCCCAGCCCTGGCCATTGCAGCCAGATGTGGGGAGTGATCCGGAGGATGGAAGATCTCTCTGTCTCTCTGTAACTCTGCCTTTCAAATAAATAAAAACAAATATTTTTAAAAAGGCAGGGAGACAGAGAGCTCTCCTGAGGTGCATTTCTTCAAGTGTGGAAAGGATGCCTGTGTACGTGAAAAATCATTGCTCACTGCAGCGTTATTTGTAACAGAAAGATAAGAAAAAACTCATTCATCCTCATAAAATTTATCAATCTACAAAATGGGACACAATGCATACTTTAAAGGACTAAGGAGGATCTTCAGGTACTCAGTCATAACGTTCTCAAAAATATCACTGTATGGAAAAAGCCAGGTGCCAAACAACGTGTTGTGAATGACAGCATGCAGGCTGGGGAGGGAGAAACCATGTCCTTGGATTAGATTCTGTGTGCACTTCCACAGCTCTGCAAAGCTGGCAGGAAATGCATGACCATGCTAACCCACGGAGGTGGGGCCCGCCCTGGGCAGATGGCAAGCAGGCGGGAGAAATGACATTTGTTGCATCTCATTCCATATTGCAGATATTGGAACCCAGCAAATGTGCCTTAATTTCTTTTTTAAATTAAAGAATTTAACAAACTCTACAAGCACATAGTCGATGACAAGAGTAATCTCTGGAATAGTGGCCAAAGCCAAGGTATATTTATTTTAAAAATTAATAAGGGAAAACTGTAAGCACCTAAAACAGAGGCAACATAAACAGGTTAAAATCCCTCTCAGGCTGTAGTGGTGGAAGCAGCCACCATGCTGGGATTGTATTTTAGGCTTCAAGTGGGAACACGGAGGACAAGGATTCACAGAAGTGGGATTGGAGGCTGCAGGAAATGGAAGGCAAAGGGTGGGGACCTCCCACGGCGCATCCCAAACTCACCCCAGCCACATGGGGAAGTGAGTCCCACGAGTTTCAGGAAACTCTGCAGATCCATGAAAAATCAGACTGCAGAACTGTGTTCTACGTCCCTGTGCCTGCCCACTGCCACCTGCCCACCAGGCCCAGCCGTGATGGCTCCGGGGTTTCCCTGGAAACACAGGAGGAAGTTTCCTCTCCTGTGCCCTCCTGGAGAACTTTCTGACCCAAATGCACAGAACATAAGTGGCAGAACTGTCCTCCTGCTGGTCTGGGTTCTGTTTGAAGGGGTCATGGCATTCCTCTGCAGGAGCAGGCTGGGCGTGCACTGGGAAAGCGTTTTCCTCATTTCCCTAAAACATGCAGCATCAAGACTTTTCCACTCAGAATGGGATTTTGTTGTTGTTGTTGTTTTATTATAAAAATGTGATTGACAGTCATTTGGATGGAGAGTTTATTTAACTCAGTCTGGATCTCCCATGTGGGTGCAGGGACTCAAATTCTTGAGCCATCACCTGCGGCCTCCCAGGATGTGTATCAGCAGAAATCAGACACAGAGCTGGGACTTGAACCCAGGCACCCTAGCATTCCCAAGCAGAGCCTTAACCACCGCACCAAATTTTCACCCCACAATTAGTTTCTTAGTTACTGCTCAGTTCAGGTAA